CATCACAGCTAGTAAAAGTTATCTACCTCTATATTGTAACTTTCAAGAGAAGATAAGTTTATTTATTTTGTAATTTGCATCATTAGTAGTTATACAAAGGCCACAGATCCTTATTTACCCTGAAAACGCATCCAAATTTCCTCTGTAGAACACACACATAAAAGCATGTCCTGATTTATTTTTTTTAATATACCAGTAGTCTAATTGTGGAGAAACTTTTTATGTAAATACGGGTGAGATGAGATCCATCAGAGCGATCGTCTTATGATCCCACACATCCTCGAGGAGAAATAGCTTCGTGCTCTCACACGAGCTTAATAGGTGTTCCCTCTCTGGAGCGGGTATAGGGTTGTGCATGTGCATTTTTATTTTAAATTCCCGAAAATCCTCCACTATACTTTAAGCTATGTGATCCTGCTAGAAAATGACATAGTGCATCATATGCTGCTCTATCTAAGAAATAGGGCTCTCAGCTAGAAAGAGGTGAGCTCGCCTCCAAATTGTGCATTCACTGTATGTTGAGAAGCCAACGGGAGATGTGCTGACAGATTACATTTCAACTGAAAATGTAATTCTTATTCTGTCAGTGATAAGTTGTGGTATTGCATCTAACGATGTGGAGGAGGATCAGAGGGAGAGTAAAAAACAAAACAGAAAACTACACAGCTAATAGGGCAAATTACATACATTTACAAATGTGGTATTTGCAATGAAGCAACAACCAAATATTATTCTGTAGAAAGCAGACTGCTCTTAGTATGAAGGGTCAGTGTCACTGAATGTTTGTTCTTTTGCATGTGCAAAATGTGTAACAGATATAATTGTAGTTCTTTTAAGTTCATAGGCAGATAAAACAATAAACAGATAAGATAAGGGCCTGTAGTAGGAGAGAAAGATAAAAAGAAGATAGATAACCATTGTAATGAATTAACTTAAAAGTTTTCAGAAAAAATTATATAAAAAAATAATAATAAAAAAAGAGCTTCAAACAAAATATAGGGGGAAAAAAAATCATTATGTTCCTACAATTTTAGTTGGAAAAAAAAAAGAGATTGTTAATTGTTGTTTAAATAGCCCCTACTTATTTATCCAGGCCGAGAAACAGAATATTTCAGAGAATATTTACTTTGTTTTGTTTTGCACTGGACTGGAAGCTGCGACAGAGACCGATTCCCTAATGGTGCGGCCCAGGGAGAAACATCCACAGCTGGGTCATATTCCCTGATTTCCCCATGCTCTGCAGTTCTGAGCAGCACTGGCCTCCTGATGCCTTCCCGAGAGAAATTAACAAACACTCAGATAAATCTAAACAGACAAATTACAACTCTGTGCCTCACTCAGCTTTTTCCTAATAGTTATTAAAAATAAGGTTACATTTTTTTTCCCCATTGGGTATATATTACTAAGAAGCGTTTTGTGTTAAATTAAGAGAAAGACATAAAAATCTGCAGTTTGGAAATATTAAATGAGGGAATTAAAAGACAAATCTTGACTGGTTTGATCTGATTTGATTCACACTCTTACCTAGGAATGTGAAATAAACTTTGCACTGTGCCAAGTAAAAAAAAATAACTGCATGTATCTCGAAGGATATTAAATATCCTTATTTTTCGGTGCTGAATCCTGCCCCTAGTCACTACCTGTTTTAAATTAACTTTAAAACTATAAAACATTCAAGTTTATTGAACTGCAACAACATAACATTAACATTTCACTGATTTTAGGAGTAAGAAGGCATCATCATGCCAGCTGTCTTGTGTAAATTGCTGCCCTTTTTACTCTCCTTTTCTGTAACCTAACATAAATAGAAAAACTATGGCAGGAACTAAAACACCCAGCAACAAATATGAAGAAAATGATGTAGCAGAAAATCTGTCCTGTGTAATACAGTAATTAAGTTAAAAGGCCAAAAATAAAACCAACATACGACAAAAAAAAAAAAAAGTATTTTACACTGAAGTAAGTCAGTCAGTCATCATTGCAAAATTTAAAACAATTTATCTTGGGAGAACAAAATAAACTTGTCAGGCTTTACTTATTTACTAGTAAAATAGTTCACTGAACTATATCAGACTGAACGAAATCTACTGTAAGAGAAGATTAACATCCTAAAAAGAACAGTCTGTATTTTCCAATAGAATATTTAACACTTGGAGTATGGTACCAACAGAACGAAGAAACATTACAAAATATTATTTAAAAATCGGCTTTGCAAGATTATGTATAATTTTAAATCATTTTCGTCTTTAACAATCTACATGATAGAAATGTGCTTAGTATCATCAACCTGCCAGAGACTGGAGATATTGGCTCAGTTCGAATTTATGTGATGCGTCCTCTGAAGGCCAGATTCGTAGGCCGAATACATCATAGCACGACGTCAAGGTCTGGTCGGATTTCAAGACTCCTCGTTATGCCGTCTACAAACGTGTCCTTTTTGCCCAATTTGAAGGATGGGTCCAGTGTATCCTCCCTATCCTTGGTTATCCCATGATGCATTGCGAGACCAAGCAAGCCAGCTGCTCCATGATCAGAGGAAATGGTACTTGGCTCCGAACAGTGGTGAATATTGGAAGTTCAGTTTAATATAATACAAGTAAGTGAATAGTTCCGTCTGAAATTAATGAAAATAGTTGTTTTAATTGTTATTGAGTCAGATATGTGGCGTTAATGCTTGATTTAGCCAAAAGTTTTTATTTGTGATTGTGTAAATAGGTTTGGCTAATATTCAAGGACATATAAAATATCTATGATATGATTTTTTTTTTTAATTGCTATTTTGCACAATTTGCTTAACTAAGTATTTTTTTGTTGTTGAATATAAGATATTTAGCAGATATATTTTTATACATACATTGTTTAGATTTACTTTTATCTTCATACCCCTTTTATAGAATAGAATACAATATCTTTATTGTCCCACAATGGGGAAATTTACAGCAGCAAATAGATTATTGAAAAAAAATGGTCACACAAATGTGGACCTTAGAAAAATGATCATCTTAATGGTTCATTCCATTCAACTGTCTAGCTCCGCCCAGTTTCATCATGGTCCACCTGTGTCACCTGCTCCAGTCTCTAATTAACTTGCTTGCTCCCAGTCATCAGTGCCAGATAATTTGAGCCTTTGGTGAGAGTTCTCTAGCAGACCTCCTGCCTTCGACCTGGATTTCCCTTCGGTACCTCTTTGGATCTCTGATATTCTGGCCTGGACTTCTGTGAACCTCTTCGACGCAGTCTTTGGCTTCACCTTCTGGAAAGTCCCGCCTTCCTTCGTCGGCTCAGATCTGCTGGTCATCCAGTTCTGCAGAGTCTGGAACTCTCGGGCCGCGTTCGTTGCATGCTGTTGGCAGCCATTCAGCTGGAATTTACTCCTTCCTCAGTCCATGCCCAGAGGAAGGAATGGACTTTCGAGATCAGGTTAGTGACTCAAGCGTTGGTAATCATCCTCCGTCAGATCTACGTGGTCACTAACCTGAGTTTTCCCTCTGCAGATGTTCTTGCCTTAGAGGCCCTAGCGGCTGAACTGCAGATTCAACATTTTTTTTAAAATAAAAGATTGAGAAATCCGCCAGTCTGTTTGGGTCCTTTGTTCGCCTCAACAGTTAAAAAATATTCGGCACTTTAAAGTGCTGTTAATACATGTCTTTAGTCCTTTTTTAAATATATATATATATATATATATATATTATAATAGTCATGTTAATGTGTTTTTTATTTATTTATTTATGCAACCTTTTTATCCAAAATATTTTGTTTTCACTTGTATACAGCTACACAAAAGGAATTAAACCGATGGTAGAGGTGCAGAAACCTCCAATTTTGTTGATTTTGAGGAATGTGAGCCACAATCTGGTAGCAGTGTGGTCAGACGGTACAAACTTTTTTTTGCTAGTGTATTTCCTAAATTTTTATGTTTAATATAGAGAGATTTTCCACTCTTTTTACCCAAGATTGTTTGAAAATGTTCCAATTGTTGTCTAATCCATTGCTATATTATTCCAGTTCAAGCACAAAAATGTTAGAGTGGTGAAAAACATTAAAATATTGAAATGATCAAGATGCCTTTTATTTACTGCTCAATTACTTATGTATTGCATTTATCACATGTCATTAGGAATTAGAGTTAAGAAAATATTTCCACAAGTTATTTTAGACAGATTTCTATAAAAAGCTGCTTTTGGTATCTGAATAACAGCCACGGGCAGAGAACCAAAGCACTGTGAGCACAAGCTAAATTTGGATGTAACCCATCTCTGGTTTGAAATCTTGTTGATGTGGACCGCTGCAGTGAGTAAAGCACTTGCTGGCAGTTTATCAGCCAATGCTGAGTAATATTGTGCTTTATATTTAGGTTGATGTTTCACCTCTTTGTTTAAGCTATATCTTTTAAAAGCTTAGAACTACATTAGGTTAGTCCACCACTTACTCATGAGATATTAGCCTGACAACCTAACCTGAAGATCTGTCAGAATCCAAAATAATAATGAGCAGATTTGGGTTAAATTGTTGGATTATAATGCATCTTGGCAAAGGGGTCTCAGCAACTGCTGATGGTCTCTCCTCATTAAATACGGATCATGCAAAAGTTTTTTTTTTTTAAAAACCTTGAACTTTTTTGACATCTTTTCATATTTCAAATGCTAACTTGTTTTGGGGAAGTGTTTTGCACTAGTCAGGGATAATAGGAAGATGAGCCAGGTGCAATGTTGTGATTTATGCCCACTTTTTCTGTTTTTTGCATGTATGTCATACTTTGATATTTCAAACAATCAGATTTTTTTTTCCATTTTAGATGAAGTATGAAGTAGTATCCAGAGTATGAAAGTGAGTATGATTTTACACATTAGGTGAAAAATATCCAAACAAACCTGTCCTCGTGATAAAGGAAAATGCTTCATAAAACCTAGCAGAAGTTCTCCCCACATTAGGCAAAAGAGGTGACCAAGAACCCAATAATCACTCTTTCAGAGCTCCAGCATTTCTCTGTGGCAGCCCACCTGAAGTTTGCCAAGAGGCTCCTGAAGGACTCTTAGAGCATGAGTCTCATCAACTCTTCATCTGATGAGACAAGAGAAAAAAAAAACATATTTTACCTTGTCACAATGGGGTATTGTTTGTAGTATTTAGAAGAAATGTACAATTTGAATTACCAATTGAAATAAAGCTGGAAGATAATTGAATGTGAGCAAAGTGCAGCAATGTGAATATTTTAAGATACACTGCAAATAGGGAAGACTTTTCATCGTAGCTATAGAATTTTTAAATATGGCCAAGCACCTTTCAAAGAGGTACTTGCTGTTGTTCAAAACACTACTGCATAATCTAGTTTACCAGACAGAGACTTTAACAAAAATAAAAAAAAAAGATGAAACAGCTATTATTTAACCCTAATATGTTGAAAAAAAATTACATTCATTATGTTGCAGGTCATTTTGACCTGCACTGTGTAAATGCATGCAAAATAGTCAAGAAAACAGGTTAAACCAATAACCAATTTATTTTAGATAAAAAGTCCCATCAATAATTAATTTAACTCATGCCATATTAATAAAAAAAATTAAATAAAGACAGTCTGTCTTTTTACAATTTTGACATGTTTGCTTGAGCTGCAGCACAGCCAATCAAAATAACCCATTTTTTAAAAAGAAAAATAGACATATAACCTCCAAGTGTAATTAATTTATTTTGGGGACATAAACTTTAGAGTATGCAGCAAAAAATAAATACAATGTGCCAACATGCAAGAAGAGAATTACAGGAGACCTAACAAATGAGTTGAGTTTTGTAAAGAATGATATACTGTACTTTTCTTATTATATTATTAGTTATTGTTTTCTGCCTTCAGAGAGAAAAACTACACAGTCAGGCCAGCAAACATGCAACAAACCCCACACCCACAACGATATGTGGCCTTTTCATGCCAGTTGAAGAAGGAGCGCTTTGAGAAATGCCAAAATGCTGAGTATTGTGGGAGAGTGTGCAAGCCTGAAAAATCTCCAATGTCAGACTGCAGAGCTGGCAGAAACCGTGAGCATCACTGAGGACACTCTCTCTCACACACAGACACACACCTAGGCAGGCCGTGTGGTGCAAAAACAGAAGGGTGGCTGCATTGTGTAACGCATCAACACAGGCTATGAAGCAGTGTAGCGAGTCGGATGCACAGCCAAGCTGTCCGATCCGAGAGGGGAAGAAAGTGAACATAAGGTAAAAGAAAAAGACAGGCTAGAGAGGTTTGGAGAAGAAACAGCTGGTTTAATGACATTACCTCTTACACCTGCAACTTTTCATGCAATTCTGTCAACTAAAATGTCTTTTTAGAAATGTTCTTTTAAATTACAAATAAGAATATTTGCCCTCTGTCAAAAAACAACTGCTCTTGGACTTTTATCAGTGTCTGAAGGTGTTGCATCAGCTATTTCTGCCCAGTAACACCTAATCAACCTGGCCTCTAATAAAAATGATCTAAATGGTATGAAGGGAGCCATTTTCTCAAAATTAGAGGCCTCTTTTAAATATGCTGGAGGAATCAGTTGGTTTTGGAGATTTAACACAAACTGTCTAAAATGTTTTTTGCTAAAATGGTAGCTATGATATAAAGGGGAATTTCCAAAATCTTAAAATCATTTCTTATGTTAAATCCCTTTGATTGATTTACTGAGGGGGTCTGGCCTTTGTTTTGTTAACTTTTGCACATAATTTATGACTACAGCATCTGTAACTGGTATCATCCAGCTAGGAACATGTATTTGCCACCAGATGTTTTTCTTGCATTTAAATTAGGATCTGTTTGGAAATTCAAACAGTAACAACTAAAATACTCAAAATCAAATTTATACAGAAAATTACATTCTTGACTACAAATGAAACTATTCATGTGCCTTTAACTTTTCATGTTTTTGTTGCATTACAATGAAAAAAGGTAGAATTTTTTTTAGAATATACAGTACCAACACAAGATATAGCTTAAATTTAAATATAAGGAAATATATACTGGTTTCTGCATTATTTTCAAACCATTTCCATGAAAACAAAAGCATTTAACATTCAACCCTCCACAGTAAATACTCAGTATGACAACTTAACTGCAATCTAGTCCGTAAATACAGAAGAGCTTGTCCATATTACTTTGGAAAATAGGTAAAGCTCAGTCAGATTCTCAGTGTTGCCTCAGCATCTCTGTTGGAATTAGGCTTGGACTTCCCATCAACTCAAATCATGATGCTGCAACAACCATATTTCACCATAGTGGAATTGCATTTTGCATGCATACAAAAAAGTTCAGTACGTTCTCATCTTAGCAGATCACATTTGTCCACATCTTTGCTCTCCCTTTCACTTAGATTCTAGCAAATTAAAATATATTTCTTCATATATTGACTTGCAATGTTTCTTAAAAGCCAAATTTGTGAACTGTAAAAAGAATTTTGGTCCTCCTGTCAGTAGATTTTCCCAGCCAAGCAAGTGATCTCTTTAACCTGCTCCTCAAAGTTTTTTCTCTCCTTATTAATGATTTTCTTTGCCTGCCAGTCAAAACCACAAGACAATTTTCTTTAACAAATATACAACATGTTGCTCTACCAAAAAACCCCCACAAAAAACAGCAAAAATAAATTGAGTTTTGTGCTTGTAATGTTAAAAAACTGTCAAAGGTCAACAGGCACATAACACCTTTACAAGGCACTGAATCACAGGCTTATTTGATGTACCTCTTGATTTTTCCAACTGAAATTGTTCCAGGGAAAGAACAGGATAGATACTAGAGGTGGTTCTGCACCGGTTTGTAAATAACATTTAAGACAAGAGTATTTTTACAAGGAGAGAGAGAGTTACATAACATACATGTATTGATAGAGAGTTAATCTTCAAGGGCAAAATCAACACAAAGATCAGTTTTCAGTGTGGTACAGGTGAAGCCCTGGTGGAGCGAGGAAACACCTGAGGGAACATTAAATATTCATTGAATACAGTGTACAGTAAGCAGGCCATCCGAGTCATTGCATCTGCTGCTCTGCCTCTTCTCTGCCGTTTGCGTGCGTGCAATTCTGTTTGTCTGCTTGTAAAGGAGAAGAAAGAGAATCTACAGAGTCACGGTAATATCCATTCGGGAAGGTGCCGACCTTCGGGGGGGAACGTGTTGACACATGGCGACGTAACCTTGGCAACCAGCAATCGCTGCGGGTGCAGATGAAGCGAGTTGTCGACACGAGCAATTATCCTGTTGGAGCCCTCCTCTGAATTATCAAACACAGACGCAAAGTTACACAAGCCTCAAAAAATATGAGCTGATAAGAGGCTGAAAGCAAAAGAATAAAAGCATATTACAGAGAGAAACTTTAGGGATGGTCTACACATCAAAAACCCACACCTACTGGGTGATCTGGGGATCTTGATCTCACCTCAGTTTGACATCCCTGACCTTTTTTTCACCCTTCAAGCCTGATTTTGAAACCTACATTTAATACACCAGTGCCTCTTCCCCTGACCCCTTCTCTCACTTTCCCCTCCTCTCCTTTGCCACATCCATCCATCCCACTCCATCCCCTCCTTCTCACTCAGTGTGAGTGCTAAGCAGGGGCCCAGCGGGTTTTCTAAGAGGGCTGTGACACAACCCAGCAGGGCACACACACACACACACACACACGGCTGCAATGTGAGGCAGACAGAGGGAGACTGAAAAACAGAAAGAAATGCATGCTGCGCAGCCACATAAACACACCAATGCACACACACCACTCACATATAGAGGCTGGGTATGGGGAAGGGAACCTATAGCTTCACATTTTACCACCTTAAAACTACAGATGTCAATGTATCCCTATGGGGATTCCGAGACTCAGATCAACACAAAGAAAACCTTCCATTGCAGCGGCCAGGTTTAAGCTCTGTAGATCCTATTTAACTCAGCTGAGGTCAGACTTTACGATTCAACAATCAGAAAGAGAGATTGCTTAAAAAATATGCATCCAATGGAGTTAAAATTCTAATAATCCAAAATTTTGAGGGAAAATGTTCTAAATAACAATTTAACTTTATTGATCTCACATTGGAGAAAGATACCTCTGCATTTAACCCATAACCTGGTGGAGCAGTGGGCTGCCTTTGTGCAGCGCCCGGGGAGCAATCGGGGATTAAGGGTCTTGCTCAGAGACCCAGAGTGGCAGTCTGTGGGAGTGGGGCTCAAACTCAGAACCTCAGGATTCCAAGCTCAATGCCCTAAACACTAGACCGTCACTCCCCTTTATTTTTGCCACTAATAGTGACAAAAATAAGGAGTGATAATGATCACTGCTACAATCATGAATTCTTCTGATGCAGACGATTCTAAAAAGACATGAAAAAATCCTGAAGAACGTCCAGTTCAGCAAAGAGGACTGAGCCACTGATTCCCCACTAAAGTGGCTCAAGAAAATAACTCTTTACATACAGACCTGTGTTATGTTAGCCTTCTCTACATTAATAAACATAATCAAGTTTAAAAAAACAGCATTTTATGTTTTCCAATGTGGGATGTTGTACATTTCTGAAATGTATTTGATGATCATAAAAACCTTAGTGTGAAAGCAAAGCAAAAACAAGATACCGTATCTAAAAATGGAGCAAATACTTTTTCTTTTGCACTTGTATATTATATAGGAAAAATTTTGCACAGCACATCTTAATCAAAGCAGAAAATACCCACTGTAAAACAGGGAGGTTGCAGTATCATGCTGTGGGCATGTTTGTTCTACAGCAGGGAGTGTAATTATATTCAATAAAGTATAATTTTCCTTCCACTCAAACATGAAGTTCAGAAGGTATGAGAATTATTTTGTAAGTTACTATAGAAGCGATTCTGAATTATTTATTTCTAACATAGAAAGCTGAGACCTGAAAGTTGAGAACCTAGTATCCAGTTTAATTTGATCAGTTAAAATTCCAGTCATGTGATAATTTTAGTTTTTAAATCAAGCAAACTAACCTATAAAGTCTGCTGTTTAAATCTAAACTCTTTGGACTTTTACAGACCATTCATGTCAGGCAAAACACGTCATGCCTGTTTAAATCTATGAAGGTACATCCAACAGACCAGAATCAACCACAGTCCGAGCATCTTGTGCTGGGAGCCGGAGTGACTCTCTCACCCAAGGTGTTTGCTCCGTCATTATAAAGCTTGGTATTCATGTCAGGACTGCTATTTTGAAAATGCATGACGCACTCTGCCCCTGAATACCAAGGACGTAGGTGTTGCCAGCCATGAGGGACAGTGCAGTTAGCTGCTTTGTTTTCGCCCTTGATGAAAGTGCAGAATATAACTCATGAGAGTGATAAATCCCTAATGGTCTTTACACTCCAAGAAGAGATTTTTTCTTTTTTTTTACTTTAAATATCTTTTTTCTAAACTGATCTATTATGCAAGATTAGAAATCTATTAATAGGTCATTTTCAAAATAGCATTAAAGGATTAAAAATAGGCTGCACAGGCTAATGAATACTTTCAGTGCTAAATAAGGAAAACATTATTTGGGGCCATTTTCAAAATTATGTTATGCTGGGATTTGAATTACAGTAACAAGGTAAAGATTGATTGGAATTCATTAATATTTCAGCTTTCGACCGTTATTTAATTTTTTTGAGAATATCAGGAATTAGGGAGCCAAAAAAATATGTGTCTAGATGCCAGGTGAGAGAACAGCGATGCTTAATTCACCTTTATGTGCAACAGTCTGAATGAATACATGGAGAGCTTTTGTTTTTATAAACATAGATGTCGCTGACTTCCTTCAACAATTATGCTTGTTATAAAATTAGGATCTTTCAAAATCAACAGGGATGGTTGCAGTTTTGAGATGTTTTTGAGGCAAAGACACAGAATCCAAGTTTGCAATTATTTAGACCCGTCTACCATGACATTTATAGAGTCTGTCATGCCTCCCTCTGCTGATGAGCTTCATGGAGATGCTGATTTCGTCACCTGCCTCCTGACTAAAGCACCATCATGTGCTTTATTGACCATGCTATCTGTCATCATTCAGAGTAGTTGCCTTATTGTCTCAGCATCTCCTTCCCGTCTCTGCAGGTCATATACAAGAGGGAACTGCCCCGCTGGCTGCAGATATACAAGTTGCTCATTGCGCCTGCTGGAAGAGGTTGAGCTGCCTTATTATTCTTCATCAGACCATCACTACATGTATGGTATACTTGCTGAGCTTCAGACACATTCAGCAATGATACTTTCCTACTACACTGGAAGAAATTGAAGTCTAGATGAGCCATTTTTTCTTAAAATAAGTGCATTTGTTCTTGATTTGAGGAACTAAAATACATTTTGCCAATGGAACAAGACTATTTACATTTACAATAAGAAAACACAATTGCATTGTCTTATTTTAAGTGCATTTTATCTAAATATCTTATTTTAAGAGTAAAAATACTCATTCCATTGGCAAATCATCTCCTTTATCTACTCAAATTAAGGGTAAGTACACTTGATTTAAGATTTTTTTTTTTACTTATTTCTAGATCTTTTTTGCAGTGTAGTTGAGGCTCCCTATGTTGAGCAGTCACAATGCTGCCAGTCTGCAAGTTTTGGATTCAATCCCAGCAGTATGTGCATGCTAGTCTGGGCAAGGCACTTATTTGTGTGTGCTTATGAGGGCTATTAGCCAAATATTGTAAAGTGCTATAGAAGAAAAACATTCACCTGGGTTTTATTATTTGTATGTTCCCAAAAGAATGAGGAAACAATCCTAAAACCGGTGCAAATGGACAGAGGTTTAAGTGTTTTTATGCATCTTCAGCAAGAATGTGAATGTTGATAGATTTGAACCATAGCTTGAATAACTCCACATTATTTAGATATAATGCATAACAGCTTATGGCCTGTAATACTTTTATTCTGTTTTGAAGTTCCTTAAACAAAATAATTCATTTGAGGGTCTTGCGGCTGAAAAAAACTCATAAAAAAATCTTGCTTTTTTGAATTCTGATTTATTGTTTATTTGTCTTTTCACCTGTCAGTAACTTAAAGACAAATAAAAAACAATTGAAATAAAATGTATGGGTGAGGGGATTATGAAGAAATAGATTTATGGATAAACCTCTATTCAAGATGTCCCATTCAGTAATTTTCAAAATATATTCTTTGTCCCCTTATAGTTATCGAAACTTTAAAAAATAAGAATAAAACTCAATGTTTTTATAGACTTTGCAACTTTATCTGATTTTATTCTATCAGGCAAAGCCTCAGACTGGGACTGAAACAAAGAACGTTCGTGTCTGTTTTTAGGCCGTTTGGGTGAATTCCTCAAAGCAACGATACAAATAAGAAATGTGGAGGAAAACCGATTTTCACAATAAATACACAGTTAAAAAGCCGACTGTCCGGTGGACGCGTCTCCGTTTCCTGTGTGGTCCGTTTGAAGGGTTAAACCCCAAAGTGAACTGAATTGTAAGAAGTTGGTTTCCAAGGGAAACTGTTCGCACCGTTCCAGCTGAGGCGGGACAAACCAACTGCTTCACAGGGAGGGGATAGGGGTGCTCGGTCCTAAATACAAAATAAACTCACACTCAGGCGATTAGAAAATACACTAAATATTGTTCAGATTAAATACTGACATTTATTAAGCAAATGTAGTAGCTTTTAGTTATGTAAAGCGATTTTGAGGAGTGAATGTGAGCATCGTTTCTACTGTCGACCCCTCCGGTGTTGCCAGTGTGCCGGGTTTCCTGCCAAGTCGGTTTGAAAAGAGCAGACAAAGGCTTTGAGCTCAGGACGCCCCTCTCTGCCTCTCACTCTGCCCACAAAGCCAGCATAAACTCCCATCTTTTCCGCTTTCCTCTCCCCCCTCCACTCTGTCATGGAGCTGCCCCGTACCCAGCGGCGCTAAGACTCCCGCTTCGGCGCTTTACTTCCTCCTTCTGAAATGTACGACCGTCTGGATCCCCGCTCGGCCGCCGGAGGAAGGCTTTCTGTGGGTAAAATACGAGGAAGCGTCGTCTGAGAGAAGAGGGAGAGAGGGGGGACGGATTGACGCTTTTTCCTCCTCTCCTTCCCTTCGCCCCCTTTTTTCCCCCGGCTCCTTTATTTTTGGCGGATAGCCGAGGGTTCAAGCCGGAATTAACGTTTTTCTGTCCGTTTTGCTTTAAAAATATCCATTTGAATCCTGCTGCGCAATCAGAGCGGATCACGTGGCACCAGAGAGAGTTGGATCGATTTTGCACAGTTTGGAGTGAAAGTAGGAGTTAAAAAAACCCCAACAAAAAACAAGAGTAGCACCAGACTCATCTTTTTCTACTTTTTTGGGGGGAGTAACTGGGACTGCTGTTACTTTTGCATCATTCCAAGTCCAGAAGGTGTTGTTTTTTTTCAGCCTTGGAGGTCAGGGGTATTGCTTCTTATATGCCTGGGTTTTGAAAAACAATGGAGACGCACATTTCGTGCCTCTTCCCAGAAATTTTGGCCATGATCTTCAGCTACCTGGATGTGAGGGACAAAGGCAGGGTGGCCCAAGTATGCATCGCTTGGAGGGACGCATCCTACCACAAGTCGGTGTGGAGGGGGGTAGAAGCCAAGCTGCATCTCCGCAGAGCAAATCCCTCCTTGTTCCCAAGCCTCCAAGCCAGGGGGATCCGGAGAGTCCAGATCCTGTCCCTGCGCCGCAGCCTCAGCTATGTCATCCAGGGGATGCCCAACATAGAGTCCCTCAACCTGTCTGGCTGCTACAACTTAACAGATAATGGGCTGGGACATGCATTTGTCCAGGAGATCCCGTCACTTAGGGTTCTGAACCTAAGTCTCTGCAAGCAGATAACAGACTCCAGTCTGGGTCGGATCGCCCAGTATCTAAAGAACCTGGAGGTGCTGGAGCTCGGTGGCTGCAGCAACATCACAAACACCGGGCTTCTGTTGATAGCCTGGGGCCTCCACAGACTAAAGAGCCTCAATCTGAGGTCCTGCAGGCATGTCTCAGATGTGGGGATTGGACATTTGGCTGGCATGACCCGAAGTGCAGCGGAGGGCTGCTTAAGCCTGGAGTACCTCACCCTCCAAGACTGTCAGAAGCTGACAGACCTGTCACTCAAACACATCTCCAAGGGGCTGACCAAGCTGCGGGTGCTGAATTTAAGCTTCTGTGGGGGGATCTCGGACGCCGGGATGATCCACCTGTCCCACATGACCTCCCTGTGGAGCCTCAATCTGCGCTCCTGCGACAACATCAGCGACACGGGAACTATGCACCTTGCCATGGGCACCCTTAGACTCTCCGGGCTGGATGTCTCCTTCTGTGACAAGATCGGGGACCAGACTCTGGCATACATAGCTCAGGGACTGTACCAGCTCAAGTCCCTGTCCCTGTGCTCCTGTCACATCTCAGACGACGGGATAAACCGGATGGTTAGGCAGATGCACGAACTGAGGACCCTGAACATTGGTCAGTGCGTGCGCATCACAGACAAAGGGCTGGAGCTCATAGCTGACCACCTGACCCAGCTGGTGGGCATCGACCTGTATGGATGTACCAAGATCACCAAGAGGGGACTGGAGCGAATCACGCAGCTCCCCTGCCTTAAAGTGTTGAACCTGGGACTCTGGCAGATGACAGAAAGTGAGAAAGTCAGGTGATTAGGAGTGTTTTGGTGTGTGCGTGCGCGTGTTTGGGTTTTATTTTTGGGTGGATAGGGGTCACCAGGAGCAGGAGTCGGGTTGAATAGCAGAGGTGATTTTCTTTTATTTAAAAAAAAAAAAAGGAAACCCCTCCCTGAAAGCTCCTGTGGAAGGTGAGCCTCTTCCGTTAGACCAGATCATTCTTTCTTTTCAGCTTTTTAACTTTCCATTCTGTTTGCCCACATCTTAAATATAAAACTTAATATCTTCCAAGTAGAAATCACTTAAAAGGTTGTTTTGAGATGTTAACTAATTAGAGTTACAATATCCCAAGAAATCTGACCTGAGCTGCAGCAGCTTAAGTTGTAATATTTAATTTTCTCATCAAATTTTAAATTATTTACATCCATCCATCAAAAATCTTTTTTTTTAATATTCAAAGCGAAGAAAGGTTGTCCAAACTTAGATTTATTTTTGCTACGAGTCCAGATTTGACGACTAATTTCCGCTACAGCCATCACGCCTAATAAACGTTTGGCTACCTCGTATGTGGTTGCTTTTCAAAAGGATGTATACAGAAGAAGACAGAGGAAAGCTGAGAAACGAGAGACTGGTAGAAAATGTGCCTAAAGGGACTGGAGCTGCCCCCTCCCCCATTCCTCCCTCCCTCCCTCCCTCCCTTCTTCCATGAGAAGAGCCAGTGAAAGGAGACCAGTACGCAATCTGACTACCTTTGTTAATTTAACCCTATAAACAGCTCCTGTTTTCTGTGGAGTTCAGTCCAAATTCGCTTCACAAAAAAATTCCCCAAATCAAACATGGAGCAAAAAGGTTTCTTATTGTGTGTTTGTTTTATTCTTTCAAGGATAAAGTCCAACTTTAATGTCCTTTTTGGCAGGATTATGAGCATACCTCCCCCTGGCAAAAATACCTATAATTGTTTTAATATAAATAGGCATGGGCCGGTATAAGATTCTAGTACATTTAAAAACAAATACGAGACACTTCTTTAAATAAAAAAAGTACAGCAACAAATATCCGTATTATATTAAAATCATACAACTATGAACGACATGTATAGATGTAGAGCAAACAGATGTACTGATCAGAGAAAGAAATTGGCAGATTTCTACTCGATCCTTGGATTAAATATAAAATATAAATAAAAAAGAAACTAAGAACTTGATGCTTCAATAAAAGTATTTGTACTTTAATCGACTTTAGTTATTTAAAATTTGCATCAATGTTGGGGATCTTACCCAGCTTTAGTTGGTAAAAAATATTTGATGATTTTTATTTTTATTTTATTTCAGTCTTTAAATAAAATAATTGGCAGGTTAGGCCACAAATTTCAATGATGAGAGATCAGAATTTGCGAATAAAAGCCTGATCGTCTCATCATTTAGAGAAACCTACTAATAGTCAGTACCATAGATGGCGCTAGTAGAGTTTCTACACCATGACAGGGTTGGTTTGTAACTACAAATATTCCTCAATGGTCATTTTATAATTATTTTAAAGTCAAAGTAAATAGTAGGACGTGAAAACTGTAATTGGCAGGTCAAGCCTTTAACCTAATCAGAGTTCAGTATCGTCCTGTAGAAACTTTGATCAGTGCATCCGATAAAAGGTTATTTTCATGGTTGTTGATTATTTATAGCTTCATTGCCATTAAAAGGCAGTTTATTTCCCAAAAGACAAAGGTGTCCTATTAAGAGAAATTTATGTGTTTTTTCAGCCAGCTGATGGGCAGTCTGCAGTAAAAGGTGATGCAGGGACGGTGTTCCATTACTGGGGCTCTATTTGGCCAAATGTTTTTAAAATTGGGGGGAAAAAAATGATTGTAAATGACATTTTTGCGGTTTGAGCCGACCCATGCCTAACGACGACACAGAGAAGGGTCCGTTAACTGTTATGTTACACCTTGTAGGTATTTCTGTAAGGGACGCTGGTGGAGATGAGTGTTCAGAGTACTTCAAATTGAAGTGTTTTCTATTTCTTACCCTTTATTAATCGCAGCTAATCAGGGTTTGTCTTGTGCTCTTATTTTCCCACATTAGTATGGACGCATTCATATTCATGTTGCCCTTACTGGTGCAGTTTGTGTGTTTTTTTCCCCCCTCATTCGTACCCTGATCATCTCTGAATAAAAGTACCCTTCAAATCAATCCTCAGACATGCTTAGAATAAATAGCAAATCGATTATTTTTCCTTCCTTTCTCCCTCGAGTTTTGGTTTGCAACGAGCAGAATATACATCTTCTTTTTCTCATCTCACCGTCCCTCCTTTCCAAAAAACACATGCAGATTTAGACTGTACACACATGCACACGCGCACACTGACGCCAGTGTGTGCGCATTTTTTATTGTAATGCAATGACCTGCTAGAAGATGAATATAAACGGATGTGCGTCCTGCTGAAGAAGCTCTGTGTGTGTGTTGACAATGAAGAGATGTACTGTATATTATGTGTTTGTAAAGAAAAAGAATGCAGAATCCCAAATGAAATTGTTTTATATTCTTACGGTTAAAAACAATTAAAAGATATTTATATAATTAATGAATCAGTGGTGTGGATTATTTGTGTGTTTTAAATTCCTCCTCAATGAGCTCTTCTGCACTTCATAACAATATGGCCTTTTATTATTTTAATGCACTATTCCAAATAGCTGCCCACATATTTAGAACCATTGTCCTGCTCATCAAAAGGGCTTGAACAAAAGCAAAAAAAATCTTTGTTTTATTATTTATGAGGAGGCTCAAAATGGATGCTTGCCGTCTTGATTTGGCTGCAGTGCCTGTGTAATTAATTATCACCATGTTGTTTATTATAGACCGTTCTGCATTGCTGATTTCTTTTTTTTGAAGCTTCAAAGTCTAGTTATTTGCAGATGGATCCAGAAGGTACAAAGTAGGAAAAAATAAAAGCACATTAACGGTAGGGTTTAATAAAGTAAAGTTTCCCAGATGTTTTTTTTTTTTTTAACCTTTTAGGGGGTTGTGGTGCTTTGTTTGAATTGTTCAAGCAGCGTCTTTGCAGCTACATGCAAGTTTTCTCTGACTGCTTTCCATCAGGACATGGCCTGTGCGTAAAGTGACACATACCATAGTTAAACAGGGCTTGCCAGGCCTGCTCAGCTGCCATTGTCTGCTTTTAGAAGTTAGCAACATAGGTTTTTGGGCTTTTTTTCTTGCTTTTCTCCTTCTCTTGTTCAGTCACGCATACCAGATCCCAGACCAGGCAGGGGACCTTACCAGCACCGCCACACATCCCCCCGCCTCACACACACACACACCACACACAGTCTTCCTTTTAGCATTCCACACCACCATTCAAAGCATTTAAGCATTCTCTCCCTCCTGACTCTCTGTCCATGGGGATTTGAGGATAAAGGCCAACAAGAGGGATTGTTGACCACAGGGACACACAGAAAATGTCAATGTTGGCTGTTTTTAAAGTTCCTTCTCTCTTTTTTTTTTGAAGTATTTTGGTATTGTGCAATAGCACTGCAACAAAACTGACTTTTTTTTATATTCAAAAACGAGCTGAAAGATTTGAGTGCATACTTTTGTCTCTATGGCAAAATGAGTTTCTATTTTATTTTGTCAAACAGCTCTGAAGTAAAATATGTTTAGAATAATCATTCATGCACTTCTTTTCTTTCCACATATGAGCTTAAAAATGTGATTTTAGGATTTATGCAACAGTATATCATGCACTTTATTCAACCCCTTTTGCAGAGATAGCCTTGAATAATGATAAATAAAAGGGCATTAAAGCTGTTTTTTTAGTGTATTTTTCCAACAATAATTGTTGCCAGGACTCATCTTTTATTGCTCTGTACAAAAAAAAAGTAGTTGTAGTTATATTAGAGGCAGGGCTTTCTTCCCATCAAAGTTTCCCTCTAATAAGATATCAAAAGGTTTTGTCTCATAATGGCAACCCAAACTTACGTCAAATTCATGTGTATAAAAGCAGTTTACAAACCAGGCAACAGAAGAACAAACTGTAGCTAGAACAGCTGCAATCCATTCATTAGATGAATAGCAAGCAGGGAGGTATACAAGATAAAACGACTGTTTCTTATCATATGACATTTGGTGCACAGACCCTCTCCCGATGGATACAGGAGACAGGGAGGTCACGTTGGGTATTGCTGCAGAAAAGCTTCTGCAGGATGAAATGTAGACTCACAAAGATACAATCAGCTGCATTCAAATGATAATGGGATACTTTATTAATCCCCGCAGGGAGAATCCCTCTTTGTGTCCACTACCCTCCTCAAAGAGGTCAGAGGTCAGGGACCGGCTTCAGAGCACCTCTGCACGAGCTGCTGTGGGAGTTGGGTGACTTGCTCAAGGACACATCAGCAGGGAGTAAGGTTGCCAGGGTTCACTTTATTTTAGTTTGAGAGTCATGTGCATGTGATGCAGTCCACCTTTAGGCATCATCTTTTTTAACCAGTAAATTGAGTTCTTAGTGAAGTTACAGCCTGAATTTACATTTAGAATAGAGACAATTGAAGGTAAATCTAGCCTGGAGTGTTTTTAGATTTTATAACATTAATGCAAACACTAGGTGCATTATGGATTGTTTTAAAGTGCATGGGTGCTACCAGTCTGTGGACACAGAGTGCCTAATATTCCAAATATAGCACTCCCAATTTACACTTTTGTACAAAGTTAAACTAAATGGTGCATGTAAATGTAAAACTTCTTTGCATTAGAGGTCCCATTTTTTATTTCAAAAATCACATCATTTTTAAGTGACAAAAAAAAACTGTGGACAAAAGGGGAGTAAAGACTGTAATACGCATCTGCTGATATTCATCTTCTGTAAACTAAAAAACACTTGAGTGGAATAACTTTATTTTTAATTAACACACATGCAACAACTAAACTAAACATTTACAAATGTTTGATATAGCCAATCTTTTATTTTTACCCACCAACTCTAGAGAAGTAATATACATTAATGTATATAATATAATTCCATCTGTTAATATCTTTCAAAGTACTTGCTGGTAAAAAAAAAGAGACTGCTTGACTGAATTATTTAATTACAACTACAGCACTAACTACCATGTAATCATATCACGGAATTAACCAACTTAATAGAACATAAATGTA